TAATGTACATTCGTTTTTTGTTAAAGCATCGGGACAATGCTTTTTTCAGAGGGGGGGCAATGCCACGTTCCTTCCTCTAGTTTTGTTGTCACCCCGTTAAGCTACGTTCAGCGCGAACAGCGCCTACAATGTTGGAGAGGCTTCGAGGCTGTAGTGGATCGTTTTGTTAAGATTACGCCCACGTTGTGAACAATACAGATTATTCTCGAACCTACGTGGCCGCTAGCTATAATGCTAGAATATTCGATGGAAAGGGTATAAATGCCGACAAGCTTCGCCGCTTGTCAGTTGATCGACGGCCGACGCTCTGCTCGCCGCTTCCAGTGACAGTATCTCGCTGTAATCTAACTTTTCTTTTACGTGGCCACAAGTTCAGCCCGAATAAACAGTTTATTATTCGACCATGCAGTCTGCCTCCTTCATCCACTGTCACGACTCCGTGACAATATCTAGACCGTCTTACATTACAATGTTTAAGCAGCTTAAATGTTTTGGTTGAATCAAATGTGAATTTTCTAAATTTTGGCACTGCAAGGTAACGGTGATGCTTTTGCACAAGCAAATACTTTCCGTATGTACGTACAGTGCCAAAATGAAATAATTCAGAGATGCTCCATAACTACACTCAAACCTCAATATAATGAACCTGGAAATAACAAAATGTTGGTTATAACTAAGTACTTAAAACATAGTCTTGTAACAGATATAGTTTTAGGAATAGACCTTACAGTTGAAGCCCTTTATAAGAGATTCGCACTGGGCAGCAGTTCTTGTTCCTTCTATGAGGTGTCTCTTATGGGGGTGCCACGTATGCATTTTCCTATCAACCTCTATTTTACTGTAGGCACACTGTCTGTTATACTCATTTGTCTTCTACATCAGTGTTTCTTATAAAGTATAACGAATTTTCGGTTATAACAAACTTACTTTTATGTAAGATGGAACTTTGCTGTAATGAGGTTTGGCTGTACCAGAAAAACTTGCGTATAGCTCCGTTTTTTAAATTTTATAGATTTTGCAATGCAAAATTTCTGCCCCAGACTATACGACGATTCCAAGAATTTTCGGCCCGAATTTGTAGTGTTGCTTTCAGCAATACACAGTGCTATCATCATCAGGTGCCTGCAAGCTTCTGCAGTAGGTAGTGTTGTAGCGTTAGAGACGTTAGTCCTACAGGCATGCAACAGTGGCCCTTGCAAGCACTTCATGCATGTAACAACGACTAAGATATTTTTGTCAGAGACTTTACACTATGCCAGCTCTGGTTGCCTATAAAAGAAAGGCTATCTTAGCTGCTGAAATCATCGGTAACTGTGCTGCGGAGCGACAGTTCGGCATGGACAAGCGGTGCATTCACAGCTGAAGAAAGCAGAAAGAAGCCCTCTTGGCATGCATTGGCCAGCGAAGAAGTTTTGGGAGCCTAGACATAAAGCTTTTCCTGACGTTGAATGAAAACTGGCGATTTTTGTTGGGTAGCAACGTGCTGCACAGCTCCCTGTCAACATTGAGCAGCCACAAGCAACGGCAAGGGAGATCGCACGAGATCAAGGCATTGAGCAGGCGGTCTTCAACAGGAGCAAGCATTGGGTGTCCCGCTTTCATGCGCCGCGCTGGGTTCTCCCTATGTCGGCATACGTCCATATCACAGAAGCACATGATTTCCTTGTGAAAGACACGTCTCCTTTCAGCTGGGCCAGATCGGAAACGCTGATCTGGCCCTGTGTGCATCGATATGCCGTTGGAGCTGACAGTTCACAGAAAACGCCCCAGGCAAGTTACTGTGCAATCAACTGGGAATGAGAAAACGCAGGTGACTTTAATGCTGGCCTGCACGACAGATATGCGCAAGCTGCCACCCTATGCCATGTTCAAACGAAAGACGTTGCCAAAGGGGAGAAGTTCCCAAGAAATGTCGTCCACTGCCAGGACAAGGGGTGGATGTATGAATCACTTGTACTTGACTGCATCAAGTACGTGTGGTGTCGATGGCCCGGAGCACTGCTAGGACTCCCATCGATGCTTGTGCTCAGACGCAATTTGTTGTCATCTGGCCGACTTCAGTGAAGCGATAGCTGCCAAGGCTCCCACACAGAGCTCGTCGTTATAACGGGAGGGATGACATCCCAGCTGCAGCCGCTTTATGTGTGACTCAATAAGCCATTTAAGGACCACATCAAGCGCCTGTAGTATATAGGAGTAGATGAGGTCTGGAGAGCCGAAAGTGACCCCTGCCGAAGGACTGAAGCGGGCCTCGCCAGCAATGTTGTGCTCGTGGATCACCGAGGCTTGGGCCTGCATTCCTGAGGAGCTTGTTTGCCGATCCTTCAAAAAGTGCTCTATCTGAAATGCCCTCAATAAAACTGATGACGAGGCGCTGTGGGAGGACATGTCCAACAAAAGAGATTCGAATTAGAGCTTGTCAGATGACGATGAGTAACTGAATGCAAATAAATGTATTTTCTATTTTCCTCGGTCTATATTCGGGTTAAAACATTTTTCTCGCATTCGGTATGCCGGAAATGCACCTCGGACTATATGCTAGTTCGACCTAGAGTTTATTGCTTCAGAAATCGATAACTTCAATTTTTTGTATTATTAACATATGATTGGATTCGCAGAGATTTCTCCCATGTTTTAAACACCTTTTCTCTCCTTTTCTCCTCACAGATGCACTGAAAGCTACATGTGGTTGGATGACAAAGGGGCAAAGAGTTACAACAACGTACGTTTTGACCCTGAGCACTTTCTCTAGTTTTCTTTTTAACCTGTGAGCTCACTTCCAGAGTAGTAGCCAACATGCTGATGCCACCACTGTGCTATTCCAGCATACTACAGACCCTGACCCCAGCATGTGGCGGTACCCTCTGGTGGCTGCTTTAAGTTACTAACTATGCAGCACACAAATGCTCAAATAAGCCAAGGGTTGTTGATGTTCTTCCCTCTAGTATTGACGTAGATAAGCTTGTCTATGATGCGATTTGCCGAGAGAAGAGCGGGTACTTTCTATCTGCCGTTGAAATGTAACAAACTGCAAGTTGTCTGTTGCATGCATTGCTACTATCTAATGTTTGGCTCACATGGTCACAGGAACCTCATCCAGTGGTTGACAGTGTTTTCTGACCATGCTCAAAAAGTCTTGCAGGGCTCCTTTAAGGAATACGTGTCTCTACCATACTCATGAACTAGTCATTACTAGGGGGAAGAAAGTACCATTAAAGAATGCTCCGACTCTTGGCCCCGCTGGACACGTCAGCCGTAACCACTTGATTTTTTCTCTTCACACGCATCCCTATAAAAAGCTGCGACCAGGGCATGGCCTCATCCGCCACTGTCTTGTCTCGTTGCTCTACAAATGATGACCTCAGACGCAAAAGCCAGTGAACAGCGCTGCAGCACTGCTACCGAGTTCCATGGCCATGTACCAGCCAGCCGACAGTTGGAGGCCACAATTCGACCTGCCACTGCCTTTGTTCTGTGCTGCTTGCATCGAAAGATGGTTCGAGGAATTTGAGGCTGCCCTGAAGCTCAACAGCATCTGGCTCCAGGAATTTATGTTCGAGGTCCTTGAGTAGGTACGGCCACTTGACCTCAAACGCCGCCTCACCTACTTCTCGTGGACCCCCCCGCCCTTACGACGATCTGCGAGATGCCATGCTACATTTTTACGGCAGCAGAAATCATTTTTTGCCCAGCAGGGACATTGTGGCACCTGGCTCATCACCTTCTGGGACGCGTCCCACATCACAGCCATGCCACACCACTCCCCTGCCAGGAACAACTGGCCACACAGGTGATGGAGACCACTCTTCAGCGCAAATTAATTCATCATTCGAGAGGCCCACCGCCCCGCAGTACACTGCTCTTGCATCTGGTGTGCCGGTTTTGCTACCTCTCAATTATGGATTCGACGACCCCAACCAAGACAGCTCGTTCGTCTGCAGAGTGCATGCCTGTACCAACACCTGTGGAAGCACACACCACCACTAAGCAGATGCAACCACAGGACCCCAACCCCACAGTATGGGACTCGACCTTACAGCGCTTCTTGAGCGCCTAACATACTATGCCTGGTCAACATAATGAGGAAGCCCAAGTTCCTAGATTCACTGACCTGCCCACAAGGAAGCATGGTACTCCGAAGTCCATGCCGGCCACTCATGCGTGTTTCCACTCAGCGATGACAAATAGCAGCTGTGACACTGCAGACTCCCCGATGGCTACAATTCCCATGCTTTGAAATTTCCTGTGGACCACGTCTTGCATGCTGCTCGGCTACCGATTCCGGAGACATCACCATTCATGCCACCCGACCATCCGACACATGAAGACTGGTTACAATTCCCAGGTTTGGGACCTACCACCAGCCATCAAGACACTGAGGACGTTTCCCCTGAAAAGGAAGTTGAGCGCCAACCTGCCAGCGAGGTCAAGGCACTCAATACGGCGTCCTAACTTGGCGCAAATCTGTACGAATTGATAATATCCATTTTAAGCTTTATTGCAATTTGACCATGTTGCATAAGCATGAACCGATTACAGCAGTTAACTTGGCACAACTTAGTAGCATTTCTAAACACAGACTTCAGCGTGTCCAGTCAGTTGCCGAATTGGCATGAGAACACATCAGGCTCATAACAATAGTCTCCTTACACCACTGCTTGCACTTGACTCATAAATGGCTTATACTTACAGCAGTTCTTCAGCAACGGAACAAGCATGTAAAGGTCATAAGTGTTCAAAAATGCAAAGATTAATAAACAGTATGATTAGCATTCAAACAATAGCCAACTAAACAAGGCCTTTTCTGTTTAGTTGGCTATATATATAGCCAACTAAACAAGACCTTTAGTATAAACAAAATACAGAATAAAAATTTTTCTTTATAAAAATTCAAAGTAACACCAATATTTCAGGATGCGAAGACTGGTACACTGAATCCTATGTGAGGCTGACAAGACATAAGGCATCTTTCTATAATGATGGCCATTTTCAGTACACACCAGATTTCCGAGATTGTAGTAGCAGTCTGGATACTTGGCTCTGTGGCTTATGGCAGTTCGGTAGCTCTGCTCAGCATCATCCAGAAGGCCTAGACTGCTCTGAACAATGCCTAGATTCATCCAGGCGGCTGCAAAATCTGGCCTGTACAGCAAAAGAAAGGCCATCCTTGCCAAGTGGTTCGCGCAAGTGGGCAAGCAAGGCATAACCACAATGAATCCACAACTGCTATAATGGAGTGGCACATGGTTTAAACAATAATCTGGCCATTGAAACGGTCGAATTAATTTGCAAGTTTCAATACCCATGGACAGCACTGATGCTATGACAGGTGCCACACTAGAAGGCTCCTGGTAAAAAAGTTGTTTAACATGAACCTAAACCTTGTCGGGGTGCTGAAACCTCCTGTAAAGTTGTTTGCGCCGCAATGCGCGAGTGTCTCGCATGGAAGCCATATTTCGGGGGTGACAACTATTGAGCGATAGGTGGCGTGTTTGCGAGCGCTGATCATCACTATCATCATCATGGTTGGTAGAGTCGTAGCGCCGGCGGTGACCCCTGGCGAAAGGCAAGCCTTGGTGGCGGGCGAGAGAGTTGAGCGAGTCTCTTTTGGCGTGAAGCGGTGGCGCGGACGGTTGTCTGTCGCGGTTGGTCTGCCGTGGACGGCACCGCGGGCCGTCTGCGGTGGGCCCACGTGGTGAGGTCAGGCGTTAGCGACACTGCCTTCTTTGTCGTGTTGTTTAATATTGTATAAGAATGTCCTAGCGTCTTGATCACAATTGATGTTATAATTATTCGGCAGCTGATATCGTCGTTTCTAAAAGCAGCTAAATAAATGCGTATTGTTTGGTTTGTTCCGACCGTGTCTGCTGTGTCTGTTCACTCAAAGAGCATGGTGGTGGTGCTCGCCAATTCAAGACCTCACAACCTAAGCACACAAACATTCTGATATTTTGTCTACATAAAGATGCAGGCCACTGAGGCTGGGATCAAGGTGAGCAGCACAAGACTATGGCACTTAGACAACACAGCCAGGAAACAAGTCCATGGTGCAGCATGCATCTGCAGAATGCCACAGCCAGTAAGCCGCTACAGCAGGTTACAGTGAAAGAAAAGCTTATATATGCTTCAAAACATAAGGGGCAGGGCAAGCAGCGAGTAGGCAAGATAACTAAGTAACAGACTGGATTCCAAGAGATGGCAAGCACACAAGTGAGAGATAAAAAGTTAGAACGTCATAGAGCATCAATGATGCAGTCCATTTAAATTCAAGAAATGGAATGTAGACAGAAAAGAGGTGCAAGGTTGGAAGAGTGGAGAAGGCTAGCGACTTCTTATATATGAGGCTTCTTAACAAATGCACTGAAGCGCACACTGTACTCATACGGGCACATCAACTTTCTTTGTTTTTATCATCCGGTGTTTCGAACACTCTTTTATGCTATCTGCTTAGACACCCAGAAGCCTAATTTAGTTATTATATGTAGGGGGCCCATTTCACTGTAGGAAGACACATAAATGTTCATGGTAGAATGACTGTTATTGTTACATTCAATATGTGTTTAAAACCAGCATCATTACAACTACACTCAAACATCTTTATAAAGTAATGGGATACGTATAATGAAATAATGAATATAACAAAGTAAATGAAATTCCTCTTGAAAGCTCTATTGAGAACCATGCATATTAAACCTCGTTGTAACGAAGTTAAATTGCTTGGTAAATGAATATAATGAACTAAATTAGTCTATTAAATAGTCTATAAAAAACATAGTGTGCTAAGTATATCGTTTTCTGCGGAGTTTGATGCTCGTTCGGCGTGGCTCTTTCGAAACTACCGCGCCGATCTACAGCCACGCCATGCACAGCCGAGAGAGCAGTCCTCTTCACACAGCCAGCAGAGAGGATTGAGAAAGCGCTCAGCGTGTCACATGACCGAGAAGTGGCACCGCGGCGCAAAGATATTGCTCTCTCCATGCCTAAAGACGACGGCAATGACAGCGTCTTTGCTGCTACCTTATGCAGCGAGAAAGGAGGACTCTCCGCGACAGCTTTCTTTTTTTCCCTCTCTCTTTGCACACGGCCTTGAAAGGAGAAGGGTCTCTACGTGCAGAGACAGAAAAGGGAGGAGCGTGGCACAGGCGCGTCACAGATAGGCATTTGAGAGAGAGCAAACAATCCGCCACAGTCTTTTCTTTCCTTTTCTTCTTTTCCTTCTTCCCGCGCAGCGTTGAGAGGTGCCGCGATGGGATTGGGCATGGTGCTTAGAGCATTTTCAGAGCACAGTATGTTCGAATTAGCCATCGCAAGTGCTTGCGCATTTCGAATTACAGGGCGTTTTCGCCCATTGAAATACACATAGCTTTTACAAGACCTCAGCGTGAGTTCGAATTAAACGAAAGTTCGAATTAAGCACGTTCGAATTAATGAGGTTTGACTGTTTATTTTCCATCTCACGCGTGGTCGCGTAGCAGTACATCGGGCTGCGAGGCGGTTTCCTTCTTTGCATGCTTATAGGTGTGTGCCCATCTGAGCATACATTGCCACAAACTATTATAATCGATATAACAAAATAATGGATATAATGAAATAATTGTGGCTTCCCTTCAACATCATTATAACGAGGTTTGAGTGTACATTTGATTGCAATGCCAACCTCAGTGGCTACTTCTGCTTGTTACCTTACACACAGAATTGACGAAAACCCGAAACTGGGTGCCAGCACAAGGCATGTGTGGTGTGTATTGCAGAACTATACACCAGTTGAAGGTGTTTTTCTCTGACTGCACAGAGTCTAGCGCACAATATGATGTCCTAGGGAAGCTCGCACGCTCTCTCCTCTGCCCCAGAAGCGAGCAGGAGATAATACAGGCCCACTAGAGGACGACCCCCCAGACCCTGCCAAGAAAGTAGCCAGTTCGCTTCAGCAGCCGCTCTCTGTCATGCAGGATGCGATTTGAAAATATGTTTATAAGAGCCACACGTAGCTTGACCAATAATTAACTGGCGCCAGAATTAATTGAAACACTTGCCCTACCCACCTGAGCTGGACAGCCCTGCGAAGCAAGGCTTGAGCCTCTTGCAGCTGTCCTACGTCCCGAAGGATGTTTGCCAGGTTGTTCATCGCCTGGTCGTAGTCAGGGTGCAGGCGCAGTGCTTCTCGGTAGCCCTGAATGGCCCCCTCTCGGTTCCCCACTATCGCCCACATTCTTGGCAAAATTGTAGTGCACCTGATGGACAGCAACATATCAAGAGTGTCTACAGTAGGAAATTACTACCATGTGAATCAATACACAGCCTATTTCGCCTTTGCAACAAATAAAGATATTGCAACACTAGCAACTCCTTATGACGAGCAACTTCCCATGACAAGATCAGTACTTGTTTGGGTACTGGGTTAAACTGAAGACTGTGAACTAAGCTGAACCTCTTGATGATGCGGTATATCGGTTCATCTATCAGTCAATAAAATGATCACTGAAAACCAATCACTGGATTATAATTTTATGTGCCAAGGAACAACCAGAAGTCTGAACACTAGCACATGCAAAAATAACTTTGACCAAAAGGTGTGTAGTATTAAGAAATAGAATGGGAAAAAACACAATACTCAAGTACACAGTAAAAAAATTACAGCGGTAAACAGAATATGTACTGATAAGCAGCAAGAGATATACATCATGAATGATGCAATCAATACCACAGACTGAATTCCAGACGATGGCTTGAAGAGGAGGGCAATACTGTGAGTGGATAGAAGAGCGAGGCTGAATGAAAATCTCAGAGCGAAAACAGCCTATTTTGCAAAATATAAAGAATGCAAAAATAAATGTTAGACTGTGCCATCTGTGCAGAGGTGAATATCTGATGAAAGAGCCAGGAACACTTGTAAAATACAATGTTAGAACACTGGGTGTGCAAACACGAACACACGAGAGAAGTGAAGATACCCCAAAAGCCTCTGTCCTACGACTTCTCTCCCGTGTCCATGTTTGCGTGCCTTGTCTCTTATTTATCTGATAAATACTACATACAAACAGCTCAAATCTCTGCCATTTGCAGCACAATAAAAATGACGATGATGATGACAATAGTGATAAGGAGTTTTAGAAGAGTGTATGCAAAGATAGTGTTCATTGCTGTCATTTACCATTTCCATCACCTAATGAGGAGCCGCAAGAAGATAGTGTGCGACGCATGAGCAGTGGCAACAAACGCGAATGCCGAGCTTCGCGCATACTGTATTAGAACTTCCTAATCATAAATGACACTATTCCTCCAGAGACCCAAGAGAGAAAGCAGAACATGCGGGCAGTCATATCTTAGTGAAAATAGCCCAATGGGGGTCACACACCAACCAAGCACAGCAATCCTCACCTTGGCGTTTCCTGGACATACTTTGAGACCGGACTCGAACAGTGAGGATTCTTTTGTCCACTCATGACATCTCTGCAAAAGAATGAGGCCATTACTGAATCAATAGCTCTTTCAATTACTATCAGTGCTACAAATCAAGCTGCAGAATATCTAGACAGCTGAATGTTACTAACTCCTTCTGTACAACAGGGAAAATGGTGGTTTTCGGTAGGTTAAAATACACCACTCGTAATTTTGTAAACTACTTAAACACAAAGCAGAATGCGAAATCATGCCGTTACCATCAGGAAATAATGTCGTTCAGCACACGAAGATAAAGGGCAGGACAAGAACAATGTGTCCCAGTGGGAAACATTCATCTCTTGCATAGGACTGATGAGTGTACAGCAAATACAAGACAATGCTACTCATGAAGGCACACAGGAGGAAGAAAAACTTTTTGCATAGAAAAAACTCTCACGTTCATATTTCTGTATGCTCGGAAGCCACAAGCAGCTACTGCTCTCACCTTGTTTTATAATTGCTGGAATTCCTTTTCACCAGAGAAGTATCTGTTTGTCTTGATACAAAATATATCACAACTTCAACTCACAAAACAAATCTTCCAACAAGGTTCTGCAACGGCAAAGTGATTGCGTGCGACTTCTATGCTTAACCGTTTGTGGTTGAGCGCTTGGTGACATTTGCTCCATCAGAAAGGCTTCTGGTAAGTACCACCGCATGCTGATGCATTCAGCGAATGATGTGGTGATTTCTGGGTGCGATTAAAACAATTGTCATAATCTGCCAAAGGTTCAGTCAGTGTCGAGGTCTCGTTGGCCATAGTGAGTGCAAGAGCAGAGGGGAACGTCTAGCAATGAAGTTCCTGTGTGGTGCTAAGAATCCACACAGCCTCCACCAAATATCACATGATTAATGACATGCCAACATCAAGTAATGTCATACTGCGAGCGTCAAGAAACAATGGGCATCAAGCTGCCGAAGTCCAAGCAAGTGCAAGCTCACTGTGGCTTGCTTGGCTGCTTATTTGTTGTCCTGTCTTCATTACACAATAAATATTCCAATATTTATATTTTTTAGCCATGCTAAAAGCATCTAAACAACTATTAGTCAGTATTGCTGGTGAACAAAAAAAAAATAACTGCTTAAAAAGAGTTAACAGACAGACCTCTTTGACTCGGAGTATTATAATTATTATTTTTTTTTTTTTGACAAGGGCACTGACATGACTGAAAAGTTTTTCAGAAACTATTGTAATTGGACAAGATGGCACAAGATGTTGCCACCAGATGTGCTACTGCCATAAATAACTATGATTATTTTGCGAACCCACAGCTGTCACAAGCCTATGGAGAGTCAAATCTTTTCAGTACATCCTATGCAGTTGCCCCTGAACTCCATCAACTTAAACTGCTAAGGCAAAAAAAATAGGGGGATAAGAAACTAACCTGCATGCTCCTAACTGTGAAAACCACCAGAAGCATGATCAGACAGTACTGCAAGACCTGCAAAGAAAAAATAAGGTGTAAGCTACAACAGCCTGTCATCATGTCACTGAGAGCAGTGAGAAAATATGATAATAATTTTTTTGGCAATGATGAGCGATTTTATTGATGTACTTTCAATAGAATTCCAAGATACATGACCATTTCTCACAAAGGTACTCATATTGCCTGCCAAGAACAGCACCGATTGGGCTGAATAAATGGCATGCAGTTAATGATTAACTTTAGTGACAATAGTACTGTCCAACCCATTTATAAGAGACACTGTTGTAGGAGACAAATGGCTATAGGAGACGCCAGTGTGCCTACCATGATATAGGGGTTGATGAGAAGATGTAAATATGGTACCTTGCTCACAAGAGACACCCCACCCGAAAGAAAGGAATAGCTCCCCGGTGCATGTCTCTCATAAAGGGGTTCAGCTGTACTTAGTAGAACCAAACTACTTGCTTATTTCTGGCTGGGCTCACCTGACGGTGCTTGGGGCAAAGCTGCAGCAAGTCGTGTCATTCCGAGGACAAGCAACAAGCAGAAGCCCATACTTGGAAGATAGAGCACCCGCTCGGCCACAACGAAAACCCACACGAAAGAAAATGTTCGAAGCAGGCAGAAATGGCACCACCAACAGAGACAGTGATAGGCACAGCAACCTGCGTAAAGTACAAGAACATCTCTGGGGTCTTTCGCTGTCTCCGTGGTGCATAGAATCAATTACCTTTGTACTGAGATACTGAGAAGACACAGTGGTTTAGACGGTTATATGTGTGGACAGCAAATTCAATTTACCAGCAAATGTGTGAAGCGAGTAAACAATGAAGCTTGGCAACGCATCTACAGCAATGGTGGTGAGAAAAGATGGACTGGAAGACAGCCATGTCCCAAGCTCAATTAATGGAGCATCATGCATATATTATTCCAATTCTATTTCCTTCTATTAGAGTAAACACTACGCTTCAATGTATGCAGCACACCTTTGCTGCTTTACTTTGTAGCTGCAAGACAAAGAAATGGACTTTATTTATTTATTTATTTGCTTGTTTGTTTATTCCTTTATTTATTAATTATATCCCCAAGTTTACAGAGGAGAGGGTTTAAATAGAGAAACATCTAACAGCTGCTAATGCTTCTACCACACAAGATGTTCAACCATCCACTAGCAAGCTGTCTTCAATGATTAGCCGCCTTAACCTGAACAGTACAAACTGCCACAAAGCATGTTCGAAAATGGTGTGGGAAACACTGAGAATGACTCATGTTCGGCATCACTGTCATGAAAGCGTCTTGGAAAAAAAAAAGCGACTTTTGAGGATGACTGACTAAATGACATCGAGCAGCACCAAGCAGGGGACTGTGTGAAGGGGTAGCAGCCCAACTAGAGAAATTCCCTCCAAACTCATGCATTGTAGTTGCAGTAAACAGTCGAACCTCATTAAATAAAGTAGCATTGGTAATTTACTTAGCTTGTTACAAATGATATTAGTTGTGAAAGGCGGTTCAGTAGACAATGTCAGGTAGCATGCAGAGGGCTGGCATAGCGAAAAACACTCCAACAGGCTCAGAAACAAAAGCTTGCAATTGGCAACTGCGCTTCGCACCCTTCGCACTAAGCAAGAGTCCTACTCGTAAATAAATGCCTTGCTGCCTTCACCCCTGCAAAACCTTGGCGATGAAGAGGAGCCTACCCTGGCAACTCAAGGTGATGAGAGAATAGGAGGGTCGTAAGGGCTAGAGGGGAATGATGCGGACCTTTTTACAACCCAGACGGTGCTTGTTCGCGGATGGCTAGACCAGCTCAATCACAGAGGTGACGAGAGAGGGGCACATGATGATGCAGTAAGGGCCATTGTACTTCGGTTCTAACTTAGTAGTCAGGCCAGGAGAGTGCTAGGATGTTTAGGCAGGAGAGTTGACAGCATGCTGGCACTAAGAGAGACATCAGCAGCAGCAGTAGCGAACGAGCCGCTGCTGGCTTTGACTCCGACTGGGTAACTTCCAAGACAAGGAAACTGATGTGCTTGCTCACTTTGTTTAAAGACGTACACTTTCAAGATGTGCCAGAGTCAGAGCCCACTCCATGAGGAAAAGCACGGCAATTTTAGTTTACACTTTCGAATGTTGCAGGGATATGTATTATTTTTTCATTAAAATGATTTGTGAAAATAAAGAATGACTTTCAGCAGTCCTTTGAAGTTTGATGAGTGAATGATGTGACTGAATGAATCATACACGATAGTTTGTTGTGAAACCAAAAAGTCAAGACTAATATTTTGTTGACCTGTTGATGGACTCACTTGGCAGTGACATCCCGAAGCAAAATGCGGCTCAACCATATTACCTATGTTTTTTTGTTCTGGCAGGTAAATTTTGCCCAAGAAAAATAACATTCATCAGAAAGCCTACCTTCGCAGCTGGGCATCTGGTGCAAGCACCATTCGACTGATGAGTATAGCAAGGGAGAGCCAGAGGGCAAGAACACTGATAATGCGAATGTCAGTGATGGAACGGATGAGTGTCAGGCAGCCCATGGACCAATCAAAGCACAACCACTGTGGGCACAGCAACAGCCAGGCATTCAGGGCATACACATGGTTGTAGTTTGTCACCTGCAAATAAGCGGAACAATACATGCATGGCACTAGTTCTGGAGCTATAGCCAGGGGGTGGTTTAGGGGTTGAAAACCACATCCACTCCACCTAAACCTTTAATTTTGTATAAGTATATAAAACACACACATACAGGCACATGCATATTGTTACATAAGGGGGAATCAGAACCTCCCCTGGCAAAAATTTTGGCTATGACCTTGGTTGATATGCACTAGTAATTGCCAACATTTGCATAAGAGTGGAACCAAAGGTCAGCACTTCCATGTGTCTTAATACAGAAAATACCTTTGCAGAAGAAGGTTTTTTAATAAGAAACTGCAACCTCCTGTTTTTGTGTGTTCTTTGTGGTTTGTCCAGTTTACCCACTCTTACTAACTTTACTAACCACTTCTTTTGAGTACATATAAGGAGGAATGTTTCCTGGTCAATGTGTGTCACAGCGCACATGTAAGCATTAAGAAGGTGACTAACATAAGCAAGCAGCCATGTGCCACGAGCTATGGAAAAGGGGCAAACCTCCCTCACACAGGCTGCAGGACAAGTACTCCTGACAACACTGACACAGTCAGTTTGGTGTATGGCAAGCAAAGGTTGGCAATAGAAGGTGGAGCTCGCTCAGACTCACCCAATAATTTCTTCAACCCGGATCACTCGAACTCACTGAATTTTCCTCAATTAGACTCACTCGGACTAAAATTCAGCAAGATGTTACTCACCCGGACTTGCTCAAAATCACGGCCCGATCAGAATCCGAGCAAGTCTGAACTTGCCGACCTACGATGGCATGGCACTAGAATGCCACACTGTTACTGCTACTCTTTTCCTTGTGCACGGATGCTCCTGCCATCCTATACGCAACAGGAGAAAACTGGTGTTTGGTTTAATATATTGCTTCTCAGGGCCACGGTAATGTCATAGACAATTCTGAATTATCGGCAGTAAACTTTTTAGAGGACAGCGATCATGCTGGCTATTTTCTCTAAACAATTCATGCGTGTGCAATCAAGGAACGAAATGTGAGTCTTGTGAAATCTAATACACTTTCCGAAATCTCACAAGCTTTTCTACATGAGACCAGCGCACTGTGATAAAAGTTGCTTCAGAAACGCTCAGCACACGAAAATTGTTGTTTGTAGTAGCCAGTTGTAGCAGTCTAAACAGAAGGCTGCGTAAAGTTGCATGCTACACATACCCTCACAAAGAGGCTCTCCTCAAACGAAGCTGGATTGTCGATCCTTTGGAACACCGGCGAGGACGAGCCCATGACCTTCCAGCGTACAGCCAGTGCTCCACAGCCCACCAAGGCGAGTACACCCTGCCGCACAGCTGCTGGAAAAAGCTGGTTCTAAAGAAAGAAAAAGGAAAACAGTTTGTCTTGATCTTCCGCATTCAATGGCTGGTTCCTGCCTTACAGACTTGCAATATTTCTTTCTTTTTGTCTTTATGTAAACAAAAAATAAGGAACCACTGAACTTGACACTAAATTGCTTTTAAGCGAATAATAGTTCGGCTGCTTAGCGTAGAACAGAGTTCATGTCATTAAATAGCACACACTTTATATCTCAAGGTTGTGCCTAACAAAAGTGATCAAAATAATTCAAGTGAAGCCTCATCTTTAACTAGCACCACACAAATAGAAAAACTTTTTAACTGTGTCAGTGCCACCTTTTTAAATATGGAAAAATTTAGAGGGCTCTTGAGCTTCGCTTCAAAAGTAAAATGCGGCAGTGCAATCAGAATCCATTCGCATCGCCGTGTCAACTGGTGGCCTCGGTTTGCTTCTCCGTGGACACATTAACCATGCCACAAGAAAAGAAACATCTGTACGTGTAACACTAGCCATTTCACACTATCCCACAATTTCTACTGCAAGTATGGTAGTAGGATGCCCATTATGCAATGATTCTTCCTTTTTCAGGTCTGCAAAGTACCCACTGTGGGTCGGTAAGGCAACGCGCGTGCCGTGCAGCTGCTCAATCTGTTGATGTTTTTACTGATGATGATGAAATACATTGTCATTGAGTGATTTTCAAGAGCCTATAAATCTCTCACTTGTTGTGCAATTCAAATGTCTTGACGCCTAGCATAGTTCTACGTTTCTGTGACACAACATTACATGCAATTGAGGAGTCTCCATGCATTACATGACATTCCTATGAAGTGTAGAGAAGAAGAGTGGCCTCTCAAGCATTGCTTTGGGCTTCAGTGGCATCGCCATCTGCACGAGCTCGTGGTTGTCGCATTTGGCTGAACCCTGCCCGCTCTTCTGCTAATAAACCTCTTAGCAAGTGGTGTAGATGCCGAGTTCCTATCCCAGAACTTCTTTCTTTTTTCTCTCTCTCTCTTTCTTTTCTCGCAAACTGAGAATTTTGATTATTTATTTATGAGCATCTACCTCGAACTTTCATTCAAAACCAACAACGATGGCAATGAAGCTAGAATTTCTGCAAAACAAGCTGTTCAGTGTGATAGCGAAAAAGGTGTAAGGTCGGCCGGTGAGAAGCAGTACTCGCCATATGAGCACAACCACAATTTATACCTTTAGTTGAACCATGCCACTTCTCCTGGTGATGATGTAGTGTAGATCAAGCTTACAGATGACAACTGCATCATATATGAAGCACAACCCCTGTGGAAGGAAAAAATAAGACAGAAATGTCCTTGTTAGCCTGGTGCAAATCTAGCAGATGGTGTGTTAGTGAAATGGAGACTTTCTGATGTACTTACTGGGCTGCTTTATCTGAAGTAAACGAACGTTTTGCCATCATAAAAGCAAGTGAAACAAAATGCTACAAGAGCTGGACAAAAAAAGTTTAAAAAGTAGCGACATGGACATTACAGTCCTGCCTCTCCCAGCAGGCAAGCATACATGTCATGTTTTGTGCATAGACTATTTTACGGAGGTGTTTCAGTGCCACCATGCTGGGCTGTTGACCTTTGGGTTTTGCGTTTTCAACAACTAAAGGAACAGTGTTATGGCAAACGCATGTGCACGAAAACGGTTGGGTTGGTACATACAAAGTTTCACGACTTTATTAAATCACGTCACAACATAAAAAAAAACAAGATCGACTTAACAGCCCAAGATGGCGGCGCCCATATGTCTTAGGTAAAATAGTCTATACCGACCTTTTCCAAGAACTATGGTTTTTGCACTTTCACTTCATCTCAACTTTAATTTCAAACCATTTGTTGTCACTGGTTTTCTATATCACAGTACATCCATTTCCTACATAAACAATATACTCTGGCATGCCAATACAGCTATAAAACTTTTTTTTTCTGTCAGTTCAGGAACTGTAGAAAGCAGGAAAAAACTTCTATAGCAAAATCCCAAGATATGAAGCACACTGACCCCTCATAGACCACATGGTGCCTGCCTAAAATGTTTCACATGCCTCAGTGCCAGACAGGTTCACATAGACATTGGCTTGTTTCGGGTCGTAAGAGTTTTGGATGATACGAGATCCAGATGATGCGAATACATTGCATGCCCCTGGGAAATCTGCCTCACTGAGATTCTAGTGAGACTTGAAAGCATCATGTCTGCTTATATACAGTGTGTCCGAACGTTACTTTGGCACAAAAAGCATCCTAGAGGGACACAAAAGCAGTCAACAGGGTCAGAAACAAGATGTGGAACAAAGGTATGCTTACTATGACTGTAATGCCTGGTTCCTTGCAAAGCATAGACACAATGCTCAAAGAGGCAGATGCAATGAGCCAGACACACGATGTCCAGGCAGACCCTAAAAAAAGCAATAACAGAAAAAGAGGGGTAGTATTTTTTTCAATCTTTGCTACGACAGTCAAATATGGTGTCAAAGTTGTATTCTCGGCAAAGAACAAACTAGGGGGCGTGTGTCCGGCTGTAAATAATCTGTACGAGGAAAGGACGAGGGATATCGGAGGCAATTGTTCCAAGCGTGCAGGTCATCAGGTGGTTGAGTGCAAAAGAAAGGTAGTTTATAAGACCCCCTTCAGTTGTGGGAACTTTTATGTCGGTCAGACTGGCCGATGCTTAAATGTGAGATTGAAGGAGCACATGACCAACTTGAAAGGGAGGCCGGAAACACATTTAGCACTGCACTGTGCGCGTTGTTCTTTTAGTGCATGTAAGCCGTTGTTTGATCAAACTGAGGTGGTGTATGTACACCCAAATCAGACAACAAGAGAAATAGTAGAAGCGTGGCACATCTCTAGACTTAAAGATATGTGCGTCAGCCATCCGTCGATATCGCTTAGTGAAAAAGAAATTGAATTGCTGAACAACATGTGATATTTGGTTTTTTAAGATTGTACGATGCCGTTTTTGCTCATGCGCGGTGATCATGGGGTGCAAGTAAGCGTATATATTCTGTTTTCTTACTGAATAAAAATCAGTTGTTAGTCTGCGCTGGTCCTTGTGTTCCCTTCTTCTGTGTCCTTGTGTGTGTGCGCAAAAACTTCAATTATACGACAGTCATCACTATTCAATTACATGTCAGGTGAAGGTCAAAAGCCTTGGCTAAGGACATCTAATGAAGCCAGTCCTGCAACCACCACATGCACTGTATGAAACCCACTGACATTTTAATGTGCCTGTGACCTTCAGTTATAACTTTCCTGAGAACAGCAATACTAATTAAAATGGTCATAAATGATATACATAAAGTTCTACCATCCATCCATGAATAATAGGAATAATACAAAAATTGTATTTTCTGTCCCGTCAACTATGTTACTTGTGATTACAAGACATGGCAGTCAGAGCGCGTCAAGGCAGAATGTGAAGGAGCTGCACACACTATGCTTTTAGATGCACAGCATGAAATGAGCAAAACTTAATGTACAGTCCCGCTCTCAGAGGATGCTGCGTAGAGGCGTTTACTGTTTCCGCTTTCAAGTGATGCCATTATGTGGCCAGCAGTAGTTAATATTTGGGATTTAACGTCCCAAAACTACAATATGACTATGAGGGACGCCGTAGTCCATGAAGGGCTCTGGATATTTTGACCACCTGGGGTTCTTCATAGTGCACCTAAATTTAAGTATGCGGGCCTTAAGGATTTTCCCCGTGGCCAGGACTTGATTTCGTGACCTTTGGGTGAGCAGTCGAGCGCCTTAACTAGTGGACCACTGTGCCAGAGTCATCATGCAGCCAGGAAAAGCACGCACCTGATGAGCAGGAGCGAATGAAAGATAGGAAGGAGAGGATGAAGAAAACTGCACACAGGAGGTCTGCCCTACCCACCACAGCTGCCACCTGCAAGACGCAACAAACACATGCAGCACTAAGAAAACTGAATCAATGCCACAATTATTGCTACTACGACAAGAACGAGCTTGATAAGACAAAAAAAGATGCAAGAACAAAAGTGGGTGGCAAATTGACTTTCGAACTCATACACCAGTTTACCAGAACATGCTTTGATAGAATTTGCTAAGGCCTATGTTCTTTCAGTGAAGGTTGACTGTATTGAAATAAAAATGCGGAAAAGATTGAATCTAGCGGTGTTTTATACAGAGTGCAACAGCAGTTCAAGTATAAGAAATATACATTTAAACCTCGATATAACAAATCCGGTATTATAAAAAGTTTCCCTGTGTCAACTATTTTCCGACAATTACAAATTCAGCACCTGTGTTGGCTATATGTCTCTGTCCGTGGGTCTTCTGGCACTGCACCCCTGAAGTTTGACTATGAACCAGCTCACACAAACCTAGTTTTGCCATTTACTCTTGCTGTTTATACAATTTCGGCAATTAGTGTCACTAATCAAGAGTAAAAGCACTGTTGTAAGTGTAGCAGTGCCATGAAGTGCATTTCATTGCCAGATAGGCACGTAGCAAAACAGCAAGTGAGGCGAAACATTTGGAAGCGAAGTTTCTCACAATCATACCTAGAGGGAAGTGTGGTGTAACCATCTAAGCCCTCCCCCTCTCGCTGAAGCGTTGGGAATGACAGTATATGTGTCTGCAGGGCTTGTGTTGGCTGGTGTTGACCGAGGCTTCAACTCAAAAGCAAATACGACTGCGTAAATAAAGCTTCTCTAGAACAAAATATTTATAAGCGGATCTCATTCACGCATATATATTCTAAAAGTCCGCTTACCTCGAAGGCACAAGCAAACAGCGAAAGAAAGAGAAAGACGACATAAAAGTTTCGGAGGAAATGCTCGCATTATCGTCTGCCTGCCAATTTTAGCGGCCGTTGATTACTTCTTATGCTTCATAAAATTGTACATCAACGTAGAAGGTTACAGTGTTAAATAAAACACATTTCTGTGCAATGACAAAAATAAATAGCTCATTACACGCTATTTTAGTAAGAAATCAACAATTGTAACGTGAAGCCAAACGCGTCGAGGTATACAAATTCAAGTCAAGTTCAAAACTCCCATGTATCGTCATTCCCTTGCTTCCAGCAGCTCATTAGTGCCAAATTTTCCTCGAGGTAAGTTTGTGAGAAACTTTATGTTTGGAAGTATCCTGTTGAAGTTACTACCAAAACTGAACGTCAATGAACTTCAATCTCATCCATACAGTACAGCATCAACAATGCACACATTTAACCATGTAAGTGACATTCTGTTCCTTGCAGGGCAGTGACTACTGCAAGAACATGTGCCCCACCGACTGGTAATGCTAAACGTAAAGAGAAGACAGAGAGGAAAAAAAAAGAAAGCTGAACATCTTTGCTGTAAAGAAAACATGCAAGAAGTTAAGGCAGAAAGATTTTGTCGAAAGTAGATGTTCATTTTTGCAATTGCAAACTCCACCAGTGAAGCAAACAGAACTACATATAGCATGTTGCCAATGCTGCGTCATCTTTTTTACAACAATGAAACACAGTGACCTGTAGCTTTCTTGTTTGACAAACTTGCTCGAATTCTCACACAGGAAAAAAAAAAGAACCTGAAGCAAGTTGATGGAACAATACACTTTGCTTTTGCATACAGGCATACAACGGTTAAAGGAACACTAAAGAGAAAGAATGAGTAGTTTTAGATTGATAAACTGCACTTGGACAACTCTAATGTCAGAACTTTAACTGTCATAAGCTCATAATTAGCAGAGAAAATCAAGGTTGAATTTTATTTTTTGATTTCACGCCATAATCTTGATGCATGACAGAACAAGTTCCACAATATGTTTTTCATATTTTCGCAACAATGGCTCAACGAAATTTTCTGAGACTTCGTGTGCCAAGTTCATAGCACCCACAAATTACAATTTACTTCAATTTTATCTATTAGAAGCTACGTAGGACCCAGCAGACGCATTCAAAAATTGACGACGTCACAGTGTTTTTGATGTGGGAATCTCGAGGTGGCGTCTCCACCTGCAGTTTCTTATCACGTATTTTCTCCCTTACCAAGTGTTGTATCGCGGTTAGAGTGGCATTTTCAGAATTGCGAAATTGTACTTTACTAATGCACAAAAAGTGTTACGCTCTTTGGTGTGTCTTTAGGCTGTGCATAGCTGAACCATGCATTACACAAGACTCCTATACATACGCTTTCTGTGTGGACCGGGTGCACAGCGAAGAGTAGGGCACAGATGAGAGAGGCACGTGATGCCCCCTGTAAAAGCGCCCTGAAGAGATGAAGAGTGAGAAGCGAGACGAAAGCATGGAGAACCACATTGACAGCATGAAAGTGGCTAGCTACCAGGCCTCCCGCCACCATGTAGTTGAGCCTGGAAAAGAAAATTATGGAAAAGACATGAGGCGACCCCAACTGGGCATTTTAGCTAGCTAGAAATGGCTAACCCCACTGTAATAAATGTTCGAAATTCACCGAGGATTCGTGTAAGACGACTCGTAGGCAAAAGCTGTCTTGTGGAGTTATTTTAATGTTAACTTTACACTTCCGAATACACACTTAATGAACACAAACACATGGGCTGATAACAAGGATTGGTGCTGACTGCATACAGCTGGTTTACTGTGTGTTAACATATACAAAGAGGGTGGGAAGAAACGTAGTGCGCTCTTATTTCAGACAATCATATATCCCCAACTCGTCCAATCAACCATATTGACAAGTGAGAAGAAAGAAGGATCAACAAAGAAGGAAGAGGACTTATGCGTACGGGTGTAACAATGACAGTAGATTGAGGTCCGAGATATCAGCAAATCTTGCCAGTTAGGGTGAGTGAAGGGATACCTCACAACGCACACCTGTGCACATCATCACATACGTTTCAAATATTTCACATGCCAGATTTTCTTTGTATTTGTGCAACACTTGGGATTTTTTCAGCCACGGAGAACACCAACAGTCTGTGCAATTGATAGCTAAATTGCTACCCTGCTTGTTCTTGATCTTGTTTGCATGTACTTGCAGACTGTCATTCAGACATTGTCCCAAATAGCCAATGTACAATCTGTCGCACGTCACGAGAATTTCTCATACAATCTTTTTGCAGTACACATAAGGCTGGCCACTGTTCTTCTCGACCGTTTTGAGAGCGGCAGAGTTTCTGCTGATGAGTTTGCACAAAGATGAAAGCTGTTCGTGGCAGCAAACACCGCACGTACCCTTCCTCTCCCAGGGGCTTTTTTAATTCAATGCAAAACTGCACTCACAAAGGGTATGACAACTAATTTTCACCTGTAAAGTCGAAGCCGTTTTTTTTTCTTCGGGGCATCTGATGTCTCAGGCCAAGACTTCAACCATTGTGAATGTGTTCATTAAGAGCTGTGTACTCTAATAGATCTTTATCAAGGAGCTTGCCTCAACACTCTTCTGAAGACATTATATGATGCATACACAATGTTTTTCTACTTTAACGAATAACGCAGATACCATAAATGCAAGCGTCATAAAGCTGAAGTGAACATGGCCTAATGTGACCTGTGGCCTCAGGCCACAAAGTGCGCGGTTTAGTCATGTGATTTCCGGCAGTCACACAAACGCACTAATCTTATGTATCGAGGCACACGGTTGGTAATGTGAGACAAGCCAGCTTTTCACTCAAACTTGTGTCCACATGAGACATACAAGGCTTTTGCATTAACAAATCTAAATCAGTGCTATAATTACACGAAAAGCCAAATGTTCACAAATGGATAAAAGAAGACAGCAACTCTTTGAAAAGGTCTGTGTGCCGAAGGAATCTTTTGAGGCAGGATTCTAAAGTGCAACAATGATCTTTTAGCACAGATCTTGGTCAATCCAGCCCTTGCATACAGACACTGCCAGCGGAGAGTACTTATTCTGCCCTCCAGCTGCTGCATTTAAAATTACCCAGCCACTACAATTTCACATATTAATCCTCAACTCATGAATGATCCATAAAAGAAAACTTGAAAGAAGCCAAGTGTTATTCATTCAAATGTGTCAGCACAGAATATATGGCAGAGAAACTGGCAGGCTGTAATCAAGCATGCAACAAACAAACTGTAAAACTTAGCCTCAGTGCCAACCACTAATAAGCTGCAAGCTTCAATGTGAAAAGGTCAACTGAATGAGAACAAGTGCACGGGTGCATCTAATAAGTCAAGTTCTACAAGATATACATCAATCTGAAAAGTGAGAAATCCCCAATGTAACAACGCTTCTCATTAACACAAAATATTTATTATAAAGCATGAAATGTGTAAAATGTAACAAGGAGTGCAAACAGAAAAAATGGACGTATCATTATCGGACACTTGAGTGGCCTTAAGAAAAAAAACATGTTTAACTGACTGTGCAATCAGTTGTGTACGCACAGCAAACAGAAACATCTCAGTCGAAAATTTTAGTACACAATGACAATGCTTCTTTTGTCAAATCAAGACTTAAAAGTTCTGTTTGGCAAGTTGCCCTAAACTAGTGTGCTGTCAATCTGAGAGGCATTTTATCATGTTCCATTTATTACCCAAGAGTCATCATCAGATTATGATGAACGGATATGCACACAAGTTGTACATCTGTTCTTCCAGAAACATTCATTGTATTACAATGCAGGTTAACTCACTTGAATGTCAGCGTGGTGAGGGGTCGGTAAGATTTGTGGCTCGACTCCGAATGTAACTCGGTGCCCCAAAAATCGTCTTCAAAGATGCGTCGCAGTGGGATCTCTGGCTGGATGTCCACATTGTGCACCACAGCCTCTGTGTCGTCAAACACAAAGTCACCGGCTAGGCTGTGGCCAAAACAAGCCAATGAAGCCCCTGCCACTAGCCATGGTCCCAAGCGTACAGCCCACTTGGGCACCGGAAGCGCCTGGTCCCAACTGCGCTCTATCTCTCTGGTCCATTCTTTCTTGGGAAACTTGAGTCCCGTCGAGTTTCGATTGTGGTCGAACACGGTAGCCATGGCTTTGCTGCCAGGGTTTAACACTGGTCATGATGAGAACCTGGATGCCTGCGCATTAGAATGTGGTATGCAGGCTATAGGTACAACATGTTTACAAAAGGCGCAATACATAAACTCATCTCAGGTTTCTTCAGCATTGCAAAGGCGAGGGATGCTACTCAGGAACCATCAGCTATCTCTACAACAGTGCTACACAGACGCACAACAAAATGCGGGGACAAGAACAAAACATGTCGATCTAAAGGTAGTTGCAATGAGGCCAAGACCGTACGCCGATACGTCAGGTCAGTAGACAAGAGAGGAACATAATTACCGAATGCTTTGATTACATAAATTATAATTTGGTCACCAGTGAAAAGTCAAACAGACACAAGTCAAACAGACACTGGCGACCTTTATTTTGATGTGCGAGCCAAATGCGTCAGCGTCACCTCTTTGACGGAATGCACAGACTCAGACATGTACGTGTTTTATTGTTTTAGCCTCCAAACAGGCATAAACACTAATGAGATTACGATAATCATGTGCTGTACGGCATTGTTCTTATTAGTGTAACGGCAAGTAAATCTGTGCAGTGGTTAAGAGTTCGTTAGCTTTGTGAAGCACAGTCGGCATAAGAAACTTCTTTCGTTAGGAAGTGCTTGAACAAACGCTATAAATATTATTAATAAAAAGATTGCAAAACAAAAATAGAAGGAAACGTAGCGAGGTGCGAGCGTTTGACTCGTGCTTCCCTCTAGTCCGGTCTTCAGCAAAGTTTTTATTCCTGGGATATTTTACATACCAATCAGCCAAGTTTCAAGCTCTCCGCCAGGGCTATAGGCATACACCCACCCAAAATTTTGGACCAGTTAATCACTAAGCAGCGATTCGTTAAGCAGTCAAGATCGGGAGCTGCAACAATACCCGGAACCAAAGCGGCCTCATTCATACGTGGCCGGCGTGCTATGTCTGCTAGGCACTATGTTTTGGGAACTTTACCATTTACCAGTAACTTGAATATGTATGCATTAGTAAACAAACAATAAAATTAAACCGCTGGAGATGCTATCTTGTCGATTACCATTATTGGTAGGGAACGTTTATTCCGCACATAGCGGTGAAGGACTGCTGTTGAGATAGGCTGGCGAGTAAAGATGTTGCCAAAGAGGAGGCACCACATACCACGTCCATTGTAGAACACAGAGTACAACAGCGACGGCAAATTAGGCAATTATTCCATTGCGTCTGGGTCAACGGCGAGCACAGCCATCTGGTTACCGTGTTTACCACCCACGGCCTCCTCCAGATGTTTACCTTGCTTAGCGTGAACAAGACATATACACACGAGTAGCGACAACTTTCCAGAGACACTTTCCGGCCCACGTGACCCCAATAGTAGTAGTTCTGTTTTCGCTTTCGGACCCGGCGCGTGCACTGATTCGTCACCCTTTCCGTGGCAGGAAAGCATTTTTTCTGCTCTCCATGCTTGGCTTCCTCCACCACGAAAGCGAGTGAAAGTGTGCATTTATGAAAGTATAATTCTGCACGACAGATGCAGGCCATGAATGTCACTTCATATATGTTTAAAACTGCTTCCGGCTGAAGGAATCTATCCGGAGCGATGAGGTGGCCACGACAGGTGCGGCCCCGGGATCTTTTCACAGGCCCAACATATATGTTGCGTTTTCACTATGTTTGCTGTTGAAGGTACCGAAGGAATCAGGGAGGGAGGGGGGGGGGGGTGTTGTCGCAGACTCTTGACCATTCGATGATGCACAATCGATCTCAGACGCGCTTTGCTAAATTTTGGGTAGTCTGAGGTGGGAGCCATGCTAATATTTTTGTTCTTGTCTATTAATCGGTAATCGGGGCATCTTTTTCTCTATCGTTTCAAAACTTCCACCATAACTTTAGGCAAGAATCGGTGCCATGCTTTTTGTTTTGTCCAAGCTTGCAGAACAATTTTAATTATGTTTACGAGCTTCGTTTGTTGTTTGTACGCGGCGAAAATGTTTACGTTTTATACAGACTAATCGAATCACACTTTCTGATTATGTATATATATATATATATATATATATATATATATATATATATATATATATATTGTCACGGGCTAAGTAGATGCCTGAGGATGACGACGACGAAGTGCTGAACGGGAACGTGCTCGGACTGCAGCAGCGTCGTACGCATTAGCTCGCCAGTATATTCGCCAGTACACATTTGTTCATCAGTGTATACTTTATTCCCCGTAACATCATTGGTGGAGGTGCGGGGTACCACTCGCTATACAGCCCAACGAGCTGGATCTTCGCAGCGGACGGCGCATTGCAGCTACCACGATGACTGACCAGGCTACTCAATGTCAACAAGATCCGTCAGCCCTGCAGCCGATCGTTGTGGTGCAACCTCGTGACCCAGGTCCATTCAACGGCACAAGTGGCATAGACGTCGATGACTGGCTTGTTCAATATGAGCGCGTCAGCAGCAGCAACCATTGGGGTCCAACGCTTATGCTGGCGAACATCATCTTCTACTTGCATGGCACGGCAAAACTCTGGTTCGAGACACATCAAGAAGAGTTGACTTGCTGGGACGTCTGTAAGCAGAAATTGCGCTATCTATTTGGGAAACCCATCGGACGTCAAGTGGCCGCAAAGAAAGAGCTTGCGACTCGTGCCCAGACATCCACGGAGCCGTACATCGCGTACATCCAGGACGTGTTGGCTTTGTGCCGCAAGGTCGACAAGGACATGCTCGACGAGGACAAAGTCGGACACATCCTGAAAGGAATTGCGGATGACGCCTTCAATTTTCTCCTGTGCAAGGACTGCTCGACGGTGGAGTCGGTCATCGAAGCATGTCGTCGCTTCGAACAGGCAAAAAGTAGGCGCATAGTTTCACCGATTTGACCGCCTTCCCAACACGGCGGCTACGTCCTCTTGCGAAGATTTGCCCACACTACACCAACCACCAGCGCCAGAAAACGTCACCAGAATAGTCCGTCGGGAACTCGAGGCCATGGCTCCCGCTATGTCTAGCGTCAGCGCGCCAGGACACAACCTCGGTGCTGTTTCAATGATACAGGCCGTGGTTCGCCAAGAGATCGCGAATATGGGCATTTCGCCACCTCATCAAAATGCCTCTGCTACTTCCAGCTCGGCTCCAGTCGTTGCGGCTGCCACTCCGAACCGCACGTTCGCGCCACGACGAAACCCAGCTGAATGGCGAACTCATGATGATCGGCCCATATGTTTTACGTGCCATCGGATAGGACACATCGCTCGCCATTGCCGCAGCCGGTGGACCTCATCACCTCGACCGAGCTTCTATGATTGGCGGCCTCGCTCTGAACGTGCACCTTATGCCCCGTCCTACCGTGCTGAGACAGGTGCAGAGTATAATCCAGAACGTCGGACCAGCCGCTCGCCATCGCCCGTGCGTCGTCAGTCCCGCTCGCCCCAACCCCGCCGTTCTCGGTCTCCTTACGACCGTCGCTCGGAAAACTAGCCGGTGCAGCCCCCGGAGGTGACGCTGCATACACGACTTGGACTGCAAATCCTCTGATTACTCCCGACCAGCGGTGCAACCTCCTAACAATTCTCGTTGATGATTTACCTATAACGGCTCTTATTGATACCGGTGCACAAATATCTGTGATGAGCTCAGACCTCCGCCGCCGCCTGCGATTGCACCTACCGTTCGTACCGCGGATGGGAGTACTCCTGCTGTGCTTGGAATGTGCACTGCGCGATTAACAATTTCTAAGCATCAAACTTCAGTTCTCTAACCACCAATTCGCCACCCGATTTTTCATCAACGTCGTTCTCGTCACGTTCCTGTTCCGACCTTTTCAAGCCAATGCTATCTGACAAGCTCACCTCTGAACAAGTCTCTGCTTTCTACCGTGTGCTTGCTCCTTATCAGGACATCTTTGACTTCGGCGACCGTAGTTTGGGCCAGACATCTGTAGTAACCCATCGCATCGACACCGGTGACGCTCGACCCATTCGCCGACGACCCTACCGTGTGTCAGCTCCGGAGCGTGCTATTATACAGCGAGAAGTCGATAAAATGCTTGATACGGGCATAATCGAACCCTCATCTAGTCCCTGGTCCTCACCCGTTGTACTTGTTAAAAAGAAGGACAATAGCTGGAGATTCTGTGTTGATTACCGCCATCTCAACCATATTACCAAGAAAGATGTCTATCCCCTACCGCGCATAGATGATGCACTCGATTGCTTGCACGGTGCCAAATATTTCTCTTCAATAGACCTTCGCACAGGCTACTGGCAGATCGCTGTGGACGACAAAGACAGAGAGAAGACGGCCTTCGTGACTCCTGATGGTCTTTATCAGTTCAAGATGATGCCTTTTGGATTATGCAATGCCCCCGCGACATTTGAGCGCATGATGGACTCTCTCCTTCGAGGCATGAAGTGGACCATCTGCCTCTGCTATCTTGACGACGTTATTGTTTTTTCGACTACTTTCGACGACCATCTTACCCGTCTGTCCACAGTGCTTGATGTTTTTCGACGTGCCAACTTGCAACTTAACTCGTCCAAATGCCGCTTTGGGCAACGCCAAATTTGCGTACTCGGCCATCTTGTTAACGCTGCGGGCGTTCAACCAGACCCTGCCAAAGTCCGAGCAGTTCGCGACTTCCCCACACCCCGCTCAGTCAAGGACGTCCGAAGTTTTCTGGGACTGTGCTCCTATTTCCGTCGTTTTGTCGAGAAGTTCGCTGAAGTAGCCCGTCCTCTAACCTGCCTCCTCAAAACGGATGTCGCATTCACCTGGGTCCAACAGCAAGCAAACGCCTTCTCGTCGCTCGTCGACATTCTCACCAATCCACCAGTCCTAGCCCACTTCGACCCATCTGCTGCTACGGAGCTTCGTACTGACGCCAGTGGCCACGGCATAGGCGCAGTGCTCGCGCAGCGGCAACAAGGAATGCACCGCGTCGTCGCGTATGCAAGCCGTCTGTTGTCGCGCTCGGAACAAAATTATTCCATCACAGAACGCGAGTGCTTAGCTCTCGTCTGGGCCATTGCGAAATTCCGACCGTACCTGTATGGCCGACCATTCTCAGTTATTACGGACCACCATGCGCTTTGCTGGCTCTCCTCACTCAAGGACCCTACGGGACGCCTTGGTCGCTGGGCGCTGCGCTTACAAGAGTACACTTTTTCCGTATCCTATAAATCCGGACAACTTCACAAGGATGCCGACTGCTTGTCCCGTTACCCAGTCGATCCCCCTGACACGACGAAAGATGAGCAAGAGGCCCTCGTTCTTTCAATTACCGACTTCACCGACATAGCTGCTGAACAACGCCGCGACCCCTCTTTGCGTGCTATTATCAATGGTCTGCACTCTCCCCACCCTGACCACTCCTTACAACTGTTCGTTCTTCACAACGACATCTTGCACCGCTACAACACCCGCCCTGATGGTGCTGAGCTTTTACTCGTTGTTCCTGTGCATCTTCGCTCAGACGTTTTGGCCCAGCTGCATGATGCCCCCTCCGCTGGACACCTAGGGGTGTCACGCACGTATGACCGCATTCGCCGCCGATTCTTTTGGCCTGACCTCTACCGTTCTGTGCGACAGTACGTTGCGGCATGCGACCTCTGCCAGCGCCGCAAGACACCTGCTCTGAGACCTGCTGGTACCCTCCAGCCCATTGAAGTACCAGATGAGCCATTTTTCCGAGTCGGCCTCGATCTTCTAGGACCCTTTCCCGTGTCGGCCACCGGTAATAAGTGGATTGCTATTGCTACCGACTACGCAACGCGGTATGCCGTTACACGCGCCCTCCCCACCAGCTGCGCTACTGATGTAGCCGATTTCCTTCTTCATGACATCATTCTGCGTCATGGTGCTCCTCGTCAGTTGATCACCGACCGCGGCAGCTGTTTTCTATCTAAAGTAGTCGACGAGCTCCTGCGATCCTGCTCTACCCACCACAAGTTCACTACAGCGTACCATCCGCAAACCAACGGCCTCACGGAACGCCTCAACCGTACCTTGACGAATATGTTAGCGATGTACGTTTCCAAGGATCACAAAGATTGGGACATCCACTTACCTTTCGTTACCTTCGCATACAACAGTTCACGTCATGATACAGCTGGATTTTCCCCTTTTTACCTACTGTTCGGTTATGACCCGCCTTTGCCCATGGACACCATGCTCCAATCTGACGCCGCCTCATCGACTGCTTATGCTCGTGATGCCCTGGCCCGAGCTGACATCGCCCGCCAAGTCGCCCGGGATCGTTTATGTGCCTCGCAGCTTAACCAAAAGAGTGCTTACGATCGCCGGCACCGCGACGTACAG